CCAAACTTATTTGAAACACCATTTTTCAACATCTATTACGAAACTTATATTAAAAATATAAGCAAATTAAACTCCGAATTTCACGATTCTTGTCTAATAAAAGATGACCATAAATTTCCATCCACTTCTAACCAAGTGAGGCTTCCCTAAAAAAAAGTTACGAAAATAAAATTTTTAAAACAAATATTTGGAGAGTAATTTAAATTTTTCTAGGAACACTACAATAGATAATTATATATCAATGACTATATGGTCAAGCCGGATTTTAGGTTGTGCAAGCTGGGCTACCGCACAGGGGCCCCTAATTTTAGAGGGTCCCCAAATTTTATAGGGTCCAATATTTAATTTTTACCTAGCTAGTTTTGAAATAAAAACTAAAAGTTTTCAATTGAACTTAAGAGGCTTCATGGAAGAATGGTAGGAATATGTGTTTATTGTATTTCAATTTTAATTTAGAGGTTAGAGGTTCAAAACTAACTTTGAACATCTCTTGCATTGTTTTTCTTTCGTTTTTAGTATTTACCTTTTCTTTTCTCAATAGGAGGTCTTGTGCCGTGGTTAATCACAGCGAGCGGCTCTCTGGCCATTGGCCGGCTTGGAGACATCAGAGGAAGACCATCATCTCCACTTCTTGCAATGAAGAAAGACTTGTTGTAATCTTTTTGCATTGTGAGTTTGCGCACACTATAATAATAATAATAATAATAATAATAATAATAATAATAATAATAATAATAATAATAATAATATATTATTATTATTATTATTATTGTAATTTATTCCATAATATGTTTTTTTTTCCTTTGCGCACAGCAATATTTTATCACCTTATTATGAGAAAAAAATACGGTATTGATTACAAAGATTGTGCTTTTGGTAGGGCCTCATTTATTTACCAGAACGGGCCCACAAAAATCTAAAAATCGCCCCTGATATGGTTTTAGTCCAACATGGTCAGATAAAATTTCTTTCTTATAATACTTTTTTACCATACTTTTAGTCATTTCTATTGAGTACTACCCGACTATATATGTCTTGTGGTCAAGCGACATAACTGTGACTTTCCTAAATAGGAGGTCACCCACAAATACACACCCATATGGCCATATATATATGCATACACCCACACACAATTCAACACATACATTTATTATATGAAAATTGTGTGTATATATATCCCAAGTACGTATACAATCCATCCATTCATAGAAGATTTCTAAAATTTCATTTCTTAACCTGCACAAAAATTCAAATTTAATTTCAATAAGTTTAACGTGTATTTTTTTTTTGGTACATCAGAAGCCTTTCAAGGAGAGCATTATCTAACCCTTAAGTTAGGTATGTTGCTCGAATCAGCCCGAAGAGTATCATTAAGATCCGCTGGAGCCGAGTCTAGCATGAGAATTCCACAAGCAACGTTTTGTCCAAAATTCGCGAGCCAGTTAACGCGTATAAATATGTGTGTAATATCATTATTTAGTTAAATTGTATCGTTGAAGAATAAGCCATAACTGGATCTTGACTTCTTGAATTACTTTTTATTTAGTCAAATTTTGATTTTCTTAATTTTATCTTATATTTCATTCATTCTAATTTCAATACTTGTTTTTATTTAGATATACCTTAATCAATTGATCGATTGGAAACACATTACTACATTTGATTGATACAAGTAGATTTGTTTATGGAAGAATTGACTAACAACTAGCTATAGTTCTCCACATTTGAGTTAATTATATATATAGATGTCACAATGAAGAGAACATATAATTATTTTATTGAAAGATTAAAAGAAGATCGTTTTTGCTGAAAGAGTATTATGTTGGCAATGATATTGATATATGGAGTTCTAAGTGGTGTCATGTTGGCGTGTCAAATAAGTAAAGTTACATAGTAACGTAATTACTTTCAACTTATTAATTGTCTTAATTTGGTTGCTAAAATTGTATATTTCATACAAGTAGAATGACATATTTGGCCTTATTCATAAAATAAAATATGAATTGACATAGCTACCTAAGATTATGTTTACTTGTCAAGTTAACGTAACAATTGGTATAAACAATATTAGTAACTGTGGTGTCAATCACAACTGGTCAGATGATTGACTTGTTAACCACAATTTTTGTATTATGGATGACACGTGTGGTTTCAAAGCGGCGACATGTGGAATGTTAGCCTGCGATCTTGTTTCGCTATCGCAGAAACTCTTGCATGTAAGGAGGCCCTTTCTTGGATCAAAGACAAAGAACTACGTAATGTTTGGGTCGAAATGGACTATCAATCCTGTCCGAGTCCTAGCAGAAAGTCCCCACCTCGCTCTTACTTAGGCTTAGCCATTAGAGATTGCATTAATTTAGTATCGATTAATGTTTGATTGTTTTCGTTAATAGATCGACAAAACGGCTTGTTCATGAACTAGCTAAGGTCACTGGCACTTTGGCTAGCCCCATTGTCAGGGAGTTGGTTCCCCTAATGTGTATGAAATATCTTCTTTGTTAATGCATTTTCATGGTTGGTTTTCAATATATATATATATATATATATATATATATATATATATATATATATATATATATATATATATATATATCATTTTTGTAATTAATAAAATTAAAATTAATTTATATATACAAAAATATTAATTAACGCACGTCACTTTTAATTTATAATAATTGATATTTTTACTATTTCATATTAAAAATATATGTATATTTTGTGGATGTAATATATTTATTGTATGAATTGAAGTAAATAAAAGAAAAGAAAAATCAATGATTATATACTCGATGGAATGCCTAATCTACCTTCCTCCTCTCATGTCTGGTTGGAAAAATCCAAAACCCAAAATCCAAGAAAGGCGCACTTCCAAAACCTCACGACTGTCCACTGTGTGTCCGGCGATCCGCCGACACATAGCGGCGCGTGAGGTCTCGATGGCCTCTAAGTTCTCCGGTGGCCCCACCTTCTCGCTCCGGAGTTGAGCCGTTTCAAGCCCGTCTACCTCCGATGCTGGAAAACCATGTGAAGCCTAACACTTCCGCTAGCCCATACAACAAACATTTCTAAAAATGAACAAATTGTATTCCCTAGGTAAGATTGCATAGCAATTGTTATACCGTGTAACATGTCCACCTTATATTATGGACTTGATCTAAAAATTATGTGTCCACAGTTAATATATGATTATGAGTCTATAAATAATTTTTTTTTTTTTTTGAGAAAGTGTCTATAAATAAGTTAATTGCATATTATATGCATATAATTAACATATTATGTGTCTGCAATTAACATATTATGTGCCTTCTATTTATTTACAGACACATAATCTGTTAACGGTAGACACATAATATGCTAGCTGCAGACACATAATCAATGTCATTTTGGATCAGAAACCATAATGCAAGGTGAACCCTAATCCATGGTATAATTTTCCAGCGCCAATTGTTATATCGTGGACCCTGATCCTATGTGACGTTGTTTTGAACTTTAATTTTAACGGAGACGGTTTGTTTTTCAGTTCGCGTTACAGAGTTTTTTTTTTTTTTTTTTTTTTTTTTTTACTGTAAAGCATGTTTCCGTGCATTGTGTTATGCGTTTCTGTGCATTATATTACAAAATTCTGTACATTAAGCATAATGATTCTGTACATAAAATTGATTAGTAGTTGTATAACAAAAAAAAAACACGTTTTATGTCTTATTTTACGAATTTTCCTTATATTATGCAATTATGTGTCTATATGACATTAATTATTTATATAAATCAGATATGAAAATAAGTAAAATAGAAAATATGTGTATGTATCTCGTGTTATGCGTTTCTATACATCATGTTACGCAATTCTGTACCTTAAGCATAAGAATTCTGTACATGAAATTGATTAGTAGTTGTATAACACAAAACATATTGTATGTATTATTTTATGAATTTATATCTTATAGTATACAATTATGTGCCTATATATATGATATTAATTATTTACATAAATTAGATATGAGAATAAGTAAAATAGAAAACATGTATATATATCTCGTGTTATGCGTTTCTGTATATTATAATGGAGCAAATTTCAATTAACACATAATTTCCCTCTCACCTCATAAACTTTTTAATTGAATAATAAAATTATATACTAACTCTGTTTATTAAGGGTGAAATTAACAAGCACAAATAAATTGAAATATATTAACCTATAAGACTAAATTTAAAGGGAATATAATTCCATGCAACTCTCAAGTTCCCATGCATATTTACTACTTTTACCCTTTTAATACTAATTATTATGAAATATATAAATTTTATTTTAGCTTATTATACGTATCATATTTAATTATTTTTGTAATTATATATTTTATTACATTATGTTAACTTATAAGTAATTTTGTTTCTCAAATTCAAATTCTTATTTAATTATTTTTTAATCATGTACTTATATATATGTTACCAATGTTTTATTTATTTATTTTAATTTAAAATTTATTGAAATACATGAAAATATACTAAAAATATTAAATATTAAAAAAACTATTATAACATAAAAGATAACCCTTAAATCAAATATATTTATATTATATATATCAACTTCAATTAAATACAAGAATCTAAAAGTCCTTGAAAAGAAGGGACTTGCAAGATGATGCAGATTGCTTTGTGAAAAATAATTTTTTTCTTTTATTTTATTTCTCTTACATGGATTACAAGCTTGCAAAACACACACACAAAAAAGGCTACCAATTAGAAGCCTTTTGTGTACTTTTCTCTTCTTTTTTTAATTATTTATAATTTATATTGATATATTGATTGGTTTTATTTATTTATTATTATTATTATTAATGTGATGTGAAATTAAGACTACTTTTGAAAGTGAAATAAAATTGCAGAAGTGTAAAGAAAATGGTGATGAAATTATAAATTTGAAGATATTAAAGTAAAACTCACTTTTGAAAGTGGAAAAGTATTGCAAGAATAAGGACAGCCTAATCTAAAGTATTTTAACATTTCGTGAACCAAAAGACCACTTAAGATATATATGTCCAACATTTTCAAATACAAAATGAGCTAATCCAAAGTTGTACTTTGCACAACATGGATAGTAATCATCCAAAACTAGTTCAATCAAATCCAAACTTACAAACAAAAGCATTCCGGCCTCCTCCCACTTATTGATAAACGAACATGACATCTCAAGTCTCAAGCCTGCATTTCAGCATTTCCCACCACAAAGATGTTAGAAGTGCATTGTGGTAACTAGAGATGCATTCACAAATTATGGACAAATCCAAATTACTCAAAATCACAACTAGAAACCAGAGATCAGTTAAATACTCTCTTCACCACAAAAATCATCAAATATCAGACTACGAATTGGGGAACCAAGCATCTTAATTGCCATCATACCATGTTACCAAAATGTTGGTACAAAGTGAAAGTAGTGGCAAGGAAAATGCCATTCTAGCAAAACATACAAGGAATTCTCAACCGTTAAATGTACTGATTCCTGTGCTGACCTCATAGTCAAGACGGAACCTAAACATTGTAAGATCTGGTTTTGGCATTGCTAAATATAGATAATGATAACGTATTTAAATACTTTAGATTTACATTTTGTTTTCTTATAGTAAGTAGGGGTAGAACATTGCTTTCATTTTCCTTCCTGATAGATCTGAAAGGAACAGTCAAAAAGTATAATTCCTTTCCCCTCCCCAACATTTTCTGCAACCACTCACACATTTGATTTTGCCTCAAGAGTATTTCATAAGCTTAAATTCTAAACATTTATTCGTACGGGTCAGCTGCCTATTGACACTGTAATCTTTCAACTATCTATTCATCAGTGTTATAAAAATCAGCATAGGCGGCCAAATAGGCGCTAGGCGCTCCAAGGCCGAGGCGATTTCAGCCCTAGTGAAAAAAATGTGCTTTTTTCCTTGCGCATATACATCAAAATGCGACCAAAAAGATCAAGAACTTCAAATGAAAAAGATGGGGTTCAACTAAACTGTTATTGATGGAAAAAGAAAATGCCAAAGATTGAGTGCATACCACATGAAGAACTCAAGGACCAAACATGTCATTTACCAAAAAGGGAACATCTAATTTCATTTACGAACTAACAGTAAGGACCAAAAAAACCACTTCACAAATAACTTAGAGATAAAAAAAATGCATGCCTATAACTTAGGGATTGAGTCTATACCACATATATAGCTTAGGAACCAAAAATGTCATTTGTCTAACGAAAATTGAACGGTTAAAATAAAAAATGCCATTTCACAGATAACTCAGCTATAAAAACTGAACACACCTATAACAGTAACAATAACAATAATTCCATGATCCATAATAATAAGAGATTTGATAGACGAAATGTATCTTTCACATTTTTAAACGAAAAATCCTTTTGTATCGAATCTCATGCAATTTCAGTGCTCAAGATAAAATCTGGACTAAAAATCTGAAACATACTAAAGACTGTCAAAGCATCAAACTTACTAGAGTTCCTCATCAGGAATTGAATGACATTAATGGACAACTTCAAAGATTCAAACCTATGGCCTATGCACTTAATGATTCGTGTGGAGGGTTCTAGTGTGGTGGCAGAACTAACTTCCTTTCTGCAAAGGACAAAGCTCTACACCAAAAGCATTGACCAATCACTTACCAGTCAAGCAGTTAGATAAGACTGTAAATCCTAAGTAATATGCAATCACAGATCATGCACTTTTGAATACATGATGATTTTACAAAAAGTATACAAATACAAAAAAGTAATAAAACCAATTGCTAAGAAATTGAAAAAGGAAAAACTAAAACAGCAAAAAAAAAAAAAAAAAAAAAAAAAAAATTAACAGAGAAAAAAACATTTGGCACAAACAAGCTATTCTGAATCTTTTACCTTAATCAGCTTGGCTTTAAATGCACTTCAATGATATCATTGTCTTCCATCTCAAGGCTATCAGGTGTGGCTGTTGGTTTAATTTTTTCCCCATCAAAACAGAAAACTAACTTTTGCAAATCAAGCTTCATTTTGTCAGCATATAGTTTGAAAAGCCGCTGAAATTTATCATCCTATGAGAATAAAGAGACAATTAGAGTTTAAAATCTAAAATTGCATTCAAATAATCAAATGTTTACTAATCAAAGTTCAATGTTGAAATGCTAATAGTACAAGACAAGACAATGTAGTGGGAGTAAAACAAATGATGCATAGACAAAGTTAGATGAAGATAGTTCAAGGCCATTGAAAATGAATAATATGCAGCACTTATGAAAATGTGACCTCATGTAACTGTCAAACCAGAAACATATAGCTTGTCTAAAGGAGCCCTTTCACAGAAACCGGTTTCATTCATTAGCCATTTTCATCAGTTTTGAGCACCTGATAGGAGCAAGAATAATTATATGATGGGTGAGTCCTGATCTTTGACCATTTCTAAAAGAAAATAAAATTAAAATGTCCCATCAAGTCCTTCAAAATTTTAACCACAAATTAGTTATCCCCTTCTGATGAGCCATTATGTTATTCTTTGATAATTTGGAGAACAGAAGAGTATTTTTTCATCATTACAAAGAATAGTATGTACCCAATATATAGATACACAAGATTGAATGTTTGGGCCTCCCTATGTAGCCGGTTGATCAGTAGCCATTCAACCCTTCATAGTCATCGACACTAGCCCTCAAGTTAGAGCATAGATATTGATCATGCCCAACTTGTTTTGAATACAATCAATTCTACTCCTATTAAGCCCCGTTGTAAACAAATCTACCAGTTGCTCTCAACTCTGTACACAAGGCAGAAATGAATCCTTGCTATAGATCTCATCTCACAGAAAGTGACAATCTATTTACTGTGTTTCGTTTGTTCATAGAGGACAGGATTGTTCAAGATATGAATGGCTACCTGATTGTCTCACAACAAGTTCAATGGCACATATGTTTTAAATTTTAATGCCAAACTCCTTTAGCATGTCCTGTATCCCTTCTAGTTCACAAGTCATTTTAAATATTGCACCATATTCAGATGCTGTACTAGACCTTGCTATCAGACTCTGCTTCTTGCTCTTCCAAGAGCCCAAATTTGCTCCTACAAATACACATTACTCTGTAGTTGACTGTTGACCTATTGTTACTTTTAAGTTATAACCCAACCCATCAGCATCAAAGAATGTCTCAATTCCTAAGTGTCCATGAATCCATGATAAGTATTAACCCAAACCAAAACCCAAGTAATTAATTCCTATACAAACAAGTCCTTATTTTTAAATTGCTTAGGAATCCCACAAAAAATGCAACCATGCAACAGTAGGAATAAACATAAAATTCAACATCATTACTGCACAATGATATAATAACAAAACAGACACAAAAGACAGTAGCTTCTTATAAAGAAGATAGTTGCAAGAGAGTACCGTGTAAATACGGAATTGTTTAGTTTCATCCTTGTCCTGGATAGAAATAATTATTTTAGCTCTCTCAGTGGTAGGTTTTGATTCCTGCTCCGTAACAGTTCCTACAGATGACTGCAATGAGTCACCAAGATCTCTTTTTACTGATTCTTCAACAGCCTGCAGCACATCCTTAGCTGATTCGGCAAAAGATGCCAACTCTTGTTTTCTTAACCTATTAATTGTGACCTTACTATTAGAAGAGGATTGGAAAATTAAAGGATACCTGCCAAACATTTGCCACAGCATAAATCCAGAAAAGCATATCAAAAGTAGATATTTCTCACTTGCCATGCATTTTCTGGAGAACAGTGAATAACATTATACTATGTTTTGTCACTTAAGAGATATAGTAATAATAGTATACTCTTTTAAGTTGGTGGCCCAAAAAGGCTATAAAAGTAGTTCTCTTTTTATTCCTGAAAGTATAAAAATGGGTAATTGATGATCACAATCTATCCCTATGAAGCAGAAGGCTATCCTACCTAATTAAATTCCATCAGTTTCATAAGAACTTCTCTAGAAAATTAAGCCTATCAAATATACAGCCTATGCATTTTGGTAGAAAAAGTAGAATCCTAATGGAACAATGTAAAATTTCAACATTCCAAATATCATTGTTAAAGAGAACATGACTCCATTTCATTGGATCAGAAACCAAACCAGGTAATAGATATAGCTCAAGAGGTCAATAGATCATAGTATCTAATCAAAATGGTTTTTAAATAAAGAGAGTCCAATGTAAAAGAAGAAAGACTTCTTGCAGCACATAGAAAATAGGGAATTATGCAGTGTGAGAAGTAGTAGAAGCCAACTCTCTTTTCACTATTTTTGTAGGAAAATATGTGACAGGAAAAAATTCAGTTTAAAACTTTAGGTAGAAAATATAAGCTCAAGAACTTATAAACAGTAAACTAAGAAGTGCATATAAAACCAAAATTGAAACAAAAATTTAGAAAAAAAAAAATATAAATTGAAATAACCACTACATAATTGAGCAACTACTTTTTTTCTTCAATATACTAAAACAAGGTGTATTCGGCTAGTGATAACCGAGTACTCCTTCCTCCATAAGAAACTTTCCACATATGCACAACTGCTCCATCTGGATCCAAAGTGGTATGCCAAAGGTCTAAAGCAATCTATCAAAGATACATCAATTTATCATAAAACAACATTAGACAGCCCAATAATGTTTCAGGCAAGCATCTTTTCCCCTAAGTTTGAAAATTAGCTATAAAATGACTTAGTCTGAAATAACCATCACCCATCATCTAACTGGGTGCAATAAAACTGTATCCTCATCCATATTCAAATAGGAGCCGCTTCATATAGAAAGACTAAGGCAGTAGCTGCATTACCACAAATTATAGAAAAGAATACTTACTTTCACATATGAAACAAATATTTAGTGTCCTCAGCATAGAACAAAAAGATGTACAAAGATCTCAAAATGAAGTATTATGGAATTTGCCAAGACTACTTTACTGTTACAAAATAGTAAGAGGTTTCACCAAGAATGTACCTAATTTCCCTTAGAGTTGAATTTTCAGCAAGGTTGTTGGCATTAAATGAAATCATTGGCGGTGATAGCAGCCAGTCCTCATCATTTTCTTTAGACTCAACTATTTGGATAAAACCTTTATCATTATCTTCCGTTGCAGCCTGATCTCAAATCCCAAACAAATGAAGAAATGAAACCATATATAACCAAATTTAAGTTCACTGATCATGTAAAATTAACGCAAATTCGTAATGAAAATGATAAGCCATACAGAAAAGTTGTTAGGCTTCTTTTTCTCCGGTTGTGAATCAAGACTATCATCTGCCGCATTCAAACAAACAACAAAAAAATTAAAAATTAAAAATAAAAACAGAAGTGGTATATATATAGAGGGGGAGAGAACCAACCATGAAGGCAAAGAACGTTGAAAGGTTGAACGCGATGGTAATCGAATAGCGGTTCAAATTCTTCAGCAGAATCGTCCTGCGAAATTGGAAACAAAGAAGAAAATGAAATTCGCAAACCCCTACAGGGAGAAGCTATGATAGTAATTTGAACAGTGCAAGATGGAAAACCGTACCATCGAATCTCTCTATCTCTGTATCTCTCTCTTTCTCTGATCGAGAGTCGGGATATCTACTAGACTCTTCAGTATTGGCTTCCTTGCCAAGTTAGTAATGGCGCCTCGCTTGAAAGTTCGAATTATTATTATTATTTTTTATTTTTTATTTTTTATTTTTTACAAGCACCCAAGAAAATAGGAATAATGTTTAAATTGGCCACTGAACGTCTGAACCTAATCTGAAAATGTAATTAGGTCACTGAATAAAGAGAAAAAAATACAATTAGGTCACTGAACACTCCAAATATATGTAATTTGGTTACCATCAATTTTTGCAGGTTACTTGCTTACGTGACAGCTGAGTTGTCATTTTTAATAATTTTAAATAAATTTTAATAATAAATTTAAAAAAAAATTAATAATAACCCGGCCACCCCGTCGTTTTGTTTTTATTTTTTTATTTTTTTTTATTTTTTTAATTTATTATTAAAATTATTAAAGGTGCCAACTCAGCTACCACGTAAGCAGGTAACCTGTTAAAATTGATGGTAACATGTTATCCGGTGAAATTGCATACATTTAGCGGGGTGTATTCAATCATGACTTTTGTAGAGTTTTAAAGACTTTTAAAATGATAGATTTTAATAAACTTTGATTGACTTTCATAGAGTCGTTCAAAACTTTTTAAAACTTTATAAGACTATAAAAGTCTATATAAAAACATTCATAGACTTTTATCAACTTTTTATTTTAAAAAGTCTACAAAAGTCATTGAAATTCTAAATTGAATACATCCTTACAAACTTTCAATGATTTTGATTCTTATCATTTATAATTTTCTTACAAAACATTTATAATATGATTGAATACCTCCTGACTTTTAAAGATTCTCTAAAAGTTTGAATTGAATACCCCTAAACTTTTAAAGTTCATAAAAGTCTTTAAAACTCTATGAAAGTCATGATTGAATACACCCCCCTTAGAGCATCCACAATGGTTGGGGAGAATTAGGGGATAATGTAATAGTGATTAGGAGAGAGAATGTGGGAAGGGGGGAAAAAAAAAACAAAAAAATCAAAATCAAAAATTTAAAAACAAAAAAAAAAAACAAAACAAAACAAAAGGGTCGGGCGCATGCAAAGCACGCGCCCGTGTGGGCGGGTTGCTGTGCGCGAAACGCGCACAGCAGCCCCTTTTTCTTTTCTTTCTTTTTCTTCTATTTCTGCCATTATCCTTGAACTTGCAGGATAAATATTTTCACAAATAACCCCACCCCACATTTGTTATTATCCTCACCCACGATAATTCATCTGACATTATCTCCCTAATATCCACTGATGTGGATGCTCTTAGAGTGTTCAATGGCCTAATTGCACTTTTTTGGAGTGTTCACCTGGCTTAATTGCACTTTTTTTCGTTCAGTGACCTAATTGCATTTTCAAGTTACGTTCAGTGGCCAATTTAAACCTTATTCCAAAAAAATATATCTTCTATTATCAACTTTTACTTTCTTTTTTCAAAATTTTAATAATGATATTCTACTAGAGGGAATAAAGTGAAAGAGTAAAAACAGAGATCTATATAGTAAAACTATTTTCATAATTCAAATTTAATTTTCTGAACTATATAGTATATAGTAATAGTATGAATTCGAAATTTTAAGTTATTTTTTAGACATGGTATTAAAATTACTTTCGAATATATTTTTGAAAATAGAAAGTCAAATAGGATATCAAATTCTTACAATTTGTGCAATTAAACTATTAAATAAAAAAAGTTTGAAATTAAGCATCTAACTCTATAAATTTGTATAATTAGTATTTATAGCATGTTACTTCCATGTACAATTAGTCAAAATCTTTATATATATATATATATATATATATATATATATATATATATATATATATATATATATATATATATATATATATATAGGCGGGTTCAGGTGCGGCAGTGTCTTACGGTGCGGTTATTTCTTATGGTGCGGCAACACCAATAGTTCACCAAATATGCACCATCAACGTTAGGAAATACACCACACAAAACAGAGTAAACAGAGCCCTGCATCACCAAACACACACCATTAGGTGTTAGTAAAAACACCATACACTGTTCGGAAATACACCATTGGGGGTGGTGAGTTATATGGTGTGTTTTTTTGAGTTTGTGGTGTATTTTGTGATGTTTTATTACATTTTATTAGGGTGTGTTTTTATTACACTGTTGGTGCATATTGTTAACACTGTTGGTGTATTTTGGAATTTGACCGCACCGCCGCACCGTAAGACCCCGCCGCATATGAGCGTTCTTCTATATATATATATATATATATATATATATATATATATATATATATATATATATATATATAGTTCATGTTTAATCATTCGTTAAAATGTTTTAATTCACTGATTGAAGTATATTTTGGGTTAGGATGGGTATTTTAGGTTCTTCAGTTTAGTAACGCGTGTGGGCGCTGAGTTTATATATAACGGATCAACTACAAAGGATAACTTGGTGAAAAATAGAGTTTAATATTATTCATTGATCAATCCGGATAAGGATTCAAAATAAAGATAATTTAATAACAAATGTCTTGGCATTATAGTAATTTTGTGTAAATTCATATTTTTTTTGTCTTCAAATGCACATTTTAATTACCTTCTTCAAGTGCACATTTTCTCTCTTCGAGTGCATATTTTTCCTTCTTCGAGTGCATATATTTTGTCTCAGTGCATAATTACGTTTCTCCCTTCGAGTACACATCATTGTGTCTTTAAGTGCACCATTTTGGCCTTCAAGGGCACATTTCGTGCATTCAAGTGTACATTTTTGTGTGCTGAAGTGCACAATTATGGGTCAATGTTTATTATATATTTTGCCTTTTTTTTCAATAACATATAATTAAATTTATAACTAAATTTGTGAGATTTACAAACAATTTGTAAGAGTAATTACTTTAATAACACTTAAGTTGAATAACTTTCCTTTTTGATACCATATATTGCCTCAATTGCATATATTTGTGACTTCGAGTGCAGAATGTTGGTCTTCAAGTGTACAATTATGGAAAAATGTTTATTATATCATTTGCATTCTTATGGGTTAGTCGATCACCCCATTGAAAGTCGTCCTTGAAAATATCGACAATCTCTAACTATCATAATTTGAATTTTTTTTTCTTTATTTGATAGACAGTTGGTATTAAATTATCTTCCTATCATATTTTGTCATGTTTATTATGCCCATACAAAGTATCACCTAACACATACCAAAGAAATTGATTGTTTTACATGACTATGAAATATAATTATTGTTTTACAACAATTACTTTCTTTGCTAATTTAGAAGATATAAAAAATTTAATGGGTAAATTTGTTAAATTAATAATAGTCTGTGCATCGCACGAGACAATTACTAGTTATTACTATATAATTTTAAAGGCAAGAACTATTTTTTTTTTTAATACTACCTATTAGATCACAATCAAGACATTAAAATTGAACTTTTATTTAGTCGAGTGATAGAAAATGTAGCACAATAACTAAAATTAATATTAACATAATAGTTGAATTAAATTGAATAATATAGTTTTCAAAAAAAAATTGAATAATATAATTTTGAAATCGCTGAAAGAATGATCAATATAATTATAACTAATATAACTTTATAGCCAAGTTGAGAGATCAAAATTATGTTTATTATTCTATGTATCGCCTACTCTCCAATACATGTACTTTAATATGTAATATACGACGTGTAGCACATTACAATAGTGAGATTTTTATTTGTAAATTGTACCTTTAATATGTAATATACGACGTGTAGCACATTACAATAGTGAGATTTTTATTTGTAAATTGTACCAATAACACCTACACTAAGGCTCGAACTCATAATCTTCCAAATGGAAATCCAACCCGAGTACCATTAGACCACATAGTTCTGGTTGTACTGGGATATTTATTTGTAAACAAAATACATTAACATTGTTACACTCTTCACAAGATGAACATTTTACGTTATAATGCTTCAACTCAAGTACAAATACCATTGTTAACATTATTTTTTCTAATAGAAAACATATTCAAGTACGTAGTTTAGGATGATATTTACCATATGCATTGTACGAATGGTGTACTCATCAAACGTTATTATTACTTTATTACGTAGGTTAATTAGAAAGACCAAATGACAAGTCGTAAATAAGTTGTAAACATCATATACAAATTAAGTGTTATTAATTAATTTACTTGTAACCAAATAAGGTTAAATCACATATTAGCGGAATTAGGGATTGAGTCACAGCGTTTAAACCTTGTACAATTGTACTTCAATTCATTTTTATTTTTAATATATATTATTTATGTCCACGTAAAAGTTTTTAATACGATCTTATCTTTAACCATGGCATAAAGTTGACAGTATACAAATTTCACGTAAAAGTTTTTAATACGATCTTATCTTTAACCATGGCATAAAGCTGACAGTATACAAAATAAATAAAGTAAATTATTAAGGATGGACCAAAACCATAATGGAGTATAGGTTGATTGTCCCAAGCCATTTTTATAAATTAAGAATTTAGAAATAAATTAAAGTAAATAGTAATTCTCAAAGCCAGCTTAATAATCCTATAAATATGCTTATGTCATAAGCTTAGGAAAACATAAGGTAGCAAAATTAAAGTTGTCATATCCTTGAGAAGGTTAGCTATGACGAGAAAAAGTAGACTTCCAACAGCTTGTAACTCTGAAATCTGATGAAAGAAATTCACCAGAAAGCTCATCATCAGCTTATGGCGGTACGGTGCACGAAAATGGCACGCCATTTAACACATATACAGGTGACGTTTTCCCCTCTGGAAATATGGTTGTCGTGGATTCAACTTCTGCATTTAACTTTGGCACTAGTGGTGGCGCCGCCGGAGCTCCTCCCTTCGCTAGTGGTGCCACCGCCACTTCAACTTTCTGTGGTTCTAGTTCCATGGCAAGTGACTATAATGCAGTTTCTCCATGGGTTGCAAGCACCAGTGATGCATTTTTCTAAACATTTAATTATGGCAATCCTTTTCAAAAATAATTGTTGCATGTGAGTGATGTCACAATGCAATAATTCAAAATACTAAGAATATAATAATATTATACCATACTACATGTTCGTCAAGCCAATATCTTGTTTAGATATTATTATATATTTACTTTATATCGTATTTTGATATTTTGTTGTGCTTCGAGCTATTATTACAATGCAAGGTATTCTAAAAATTTTCAATCAAGTTCAATCTATATTATCTACAATCATCCACGCTAATGACGTAATAGTGTGACTTCTCTAGGATTGGGAAGAGGAACTGCAAATGGAGTAGTTAATAATCTGTATATTCAATCAAATAACAAGAAGCACTGTACAGACTTATATAATAAAGCTCAGCACCACAATAGGTGGAGCAGCTAGAGAATGCTAAAGACTCTAACTGAAACATAACAAACTAATATTATTACTAATATTATTTAGCTGGACCAATACTCCCCCTCAAGCTGGCGGGGAGCAGGGAACAACGCCAAGCTTGTGACGAAGATCAGAGAAGTGAACAGCGGAAAGAGGTTTGGTGAAGATGTCGGCCAACTGGTCCTGAGTAGAGACGAAGTTGACTTTCAGCGCCCCAGTGGTAACTTTGTCCCGGACAAAATAATAGTCCACTTCTACGTGTTTTGTTCTGGCGTGAAATACAGGATTGGAACAAAGGTATGTGGCGCCTAGATTATCACACCATAAGACCGGGACGGTGGTCAGGAGTAAGCCAAGCTCACGGAGCAGAGACTGGATCCATGTTACTTCTGCAGCGACATCTGCAAGAGCTTTGTACTCGGCTTCTGTAGAGGAACGAGCCACGGTGCGCTGCTTCCTAGCAACCCAGGACAGAAGATTAGGGCCTAGAAAAACCGCATAGCCACCTGTTGACTTCCTATCAACGGAGCAACCAGCCCAATCTGAGTCTGAAAAGGCATGGAGCACAGGAGTAGCGGACGGAGTAATGCGGAGGCCAATATCCATCGTCCCTTTGACGTACCTTAGGACGCGTTTGAGTGCGGCCCAATGACTCTGCGTTGGGGTATGCATGAACTGACACAGCCTGTTTACAGAGTAGGCTAAGTCTGGCCGCGTGACCAACAGATACATTAATGATCTAACAAGCTGTCGATAGGGAGTTGGGTCGTCTAGCACATCTGCGCCATGTGGAATATCCTGTGTTGCAACAGAAATAGGTGTTGCCAACGGTTTGCACGAGTCCATACCCGCCTTACGAAGCAGCTCAGTCATGTACCTTTTCTGTGAAAGAACTATGGAGTTGGCCACATCAACGGCCTCAATACCCAAGAAGAACCTGGGTTTACCGAGATCGCGGATACGGAACACAGTAGAAAGCCTGTCCAAAATATTCTGTATCATGGCTGAATCGTTGCCCATGAGTAAAATGTCATCTACATACACGAGTAGATAGACACGTATAGCCCCTGAGTCATAAATGAACAATGAGACGTCTGTTTTGGAGGCCCGAAACCCAATCTAAACCAAATAGTCATGGAGTCTTGTGAACCAAGCCCGCGGGGCCTGTTTCAGGCCATACAACGATCGTTGCAATTTACAAACATAATCCGGACAATTCGGGTTCGCATAACCCGGGGGCTGGCGCATGTAGATGTTTTCACTGACACGTCCATTTAGGAACGCATTATGTACGTCTAGCTGACGCAAGATCTAGTTGTTTGAAACGGCATAGGCTAACAGGAGCCTAACTGTTGTGGGCTTGACTACGGGACTGTATGTATCAACGTAGTCTTGCCCGGGTATCTAATTGAACCCCTTGGCAACCAAGCGGGCTTTGTAACGCTCTATAGCGCCATCAGACTTTCTTTTGATACGGAAGACCCACTTGCAGCCGATGATGTTCATGTCAGGACGCGGTGGAACAAGCCGCCAGGTTTGATTATGTATTAAGGTGTTGAATTCTACATTCATAATGTCACGCCATTGCGGTAGCCGAACCGCCTGTGAGTGGCACGTGGGCTCGTTGTTGTCAATATATGCAATCAGGGCTGTAGGGCGCTTGCGTTGAGCATCGGTGGTGGTGCGCAACCTCATGACATGTGTGCAAACTGTCGGTCGCTGTCGACGCCGCCGAGTAGTAGTCGTGGTGGACGTCGAGGGATGATAAGATGAAGATGCCACAGCAGCAGCCGTAGAAGAGGAAGTCGGCAGTATGTTTCCTTGGGGTTGGCCACTGGTGGGTGGACTCTCATTGTTAGACACCACCGGTGCACCTTGTGTCCGAACCTGGGCACATGCCCACGGTTGCATGGTCGCCATAGTACCCGTAGTCGTGGCTTCCACTTGTGAAAAGGGGAACACCGTTTCGTTGAAGCGTACATGACGAGCAATGTAAACCCGCCCTGACTGCACATCAAGACACCTGTAGCCATAAAAGGATTCCGGATACCCAAGAAACACACAGGACTTGGAGCGGTAATCCATTTTGTGTGCGTTGTATGGGCGCAAATGAGGAAAACATTCACACCCAAACACACGCAATATAGTATAGTTAGGTTGTTGTTGATAAAGCTGAAAGTACGGACTAGTACCATTAGACACAGGAGACGGAAGACGGTTGATTAAATGAACCGCCGCCTCAAAGGCATAGAACCAATATTTCTGGGGAACTTGGCCGTGAGCTAACAGGGCGAGGCCTGTTTCCACAACATGACGGTTCCTGCGCTCTACACGCCCATTCTGTTCGTGTGTATGAGGGCAGGATTTCTTGTGAAGTATTCCTACGGCTGCAAAAACCGAACTTAACTTAACATACTCACCCCCCATGTCCGATTGAACACATTTTATGGGACGGGAGAATTGTTTCTCCACTAACGTACGGAACCTATTGAATATGTGGTAAATATCTGATTTGAGACGCATCGGATAGATCCACATGAATCTAGAAAAGTCATCTACGAACAATACGAAGTATTTATGACCTTCGACTGTGGGTACAGGAGATGGACCCCAAATATCCGAAAATATTAAATCTAGAACTGACTGACTCGAATTTTCAATCCGCGACAACGGGAAGCGCGCAGACTTGCCCATCTGACACGGTTTACATAATTTATTTAATGAACTAAATGAACCTACGACTGGACAGGCTGACAGGACCTGTTTTAGAACCCAGAAGTGAGGATGACCAAGGCGTTCATGCCATGTCTTCGGAGTGGCTTTAACTGACAAGAAGGCAACTGGACTGGAAAGATTTAGCGTGTACATCCCGCCCGTGCTAGGACCTCTAAGTAGAATCTGCTGAGTAGTACGGTCCTTCACAACAAAATAACGAGGGTGAAATTCAAAATACACATCATTATCTTGTGTGAATTTTTGGACAGAAAGAAGGGATGCACGTAATTCAGGAATGTGTAATACGTGTTTTAGAAACAGAGACCGAGACGAGGAATTTAATGAAACTGAACCTGTATTGTGTATATCCAAACCTGAGCCATCTCCAACTTGTAGCGTCTCACCACCGGTATATTGCTCAACACCCGATAGGCCATCTATGTTTGGCGTTGCGTGATTATTCGCGCCTGTGTCTAGCAGCCAAACATTCGAGAAAGGAGCAGAGGAGTGGTCATTTTGAGGAGGCCTGTGTGCCATATTTGCTTGCGGCGGATTCTGTCGCATAACAGGTGCATGATGCGCACCCCCGTAGTTCTCAAAACGCCAGTAGCATGTGAGGGCGGTATGACCGGGTATGTCACAGATTTGGCACCGGACCCCACCCCGACCACGCTGTCCTCGGCCCCGTTGGCCTCTATGATTCCGGCCGCGGCCACGGCCTCCGTCATGGGCACTCCTGGGGTTCGACGTCGCCTGCTGTGCAAGCAAAGCCGCCGGCTGCTGAGCGACAGGAGCAGCCTCCTCCGGGAAGAGATAACTGTGTGTGTTGAGTAAGTCTGCAACCTCCGGTATGGTTAGCGGGGAACTTTTGGTGGTGAGCGATGCGACTAGCGAGCGGAACTCTGGGCGTAAACCTCTGAACAAGTGAAGGTTTTGTTCGTCGAGGCCTATTGGCCGGCCGGCCTGAGCAAGCTGCTCTACAAGGACCTGAGCACGTCCGAGGTATTCCGACGTCGTAGAATCTCCTTAGTGAAGACCCTGTAGTTGCGTCAATAGGCTCAGCGTGCGTGACCGGGATGTAGACCCCAATGCCATTTCAATTTCCACCCAAACTCCTCTGGTAGTGGAGTGGCCGATTGCTAAGTAAAGAACCTCCTCTGTGAGAGAGGAGATGAGCATACTCAAGATCGACTGATCTTGCTGAATCCAGTTGGCATGGTGCGGGTTGACAGTCGGGGAGGCTGAGGTGGTCGCCGATGAAGCAAGAAACTCCGGTGGGCAGGAATTAGTACCATCTACAAAACCATACAGGTTTTGGCCCCTCAAAAACGGGACCAGCTGCGCTCTCCAGAATAGGTAATTCGTGGCTATCAGCTTGATGGACACGTAATGGTGTGCCTGCTGTAACATGGTGGTTGTTCGCCGGTCGGAGTGAGCGACAACTTGGGTGGAGGAATCGACCGGAGAGGTGGTGTTGCCTGTGGCAGGGGGGTTGTTTTGATTTTCACTGGCCATAGGATCAATGATAGGCTGATACCAAATGGAGTAGTTAATAATCTGTATATTCAATCAAATAACAATAAGCACTGTACAGACTTATATAATAAAGCTCAGCACCACAATAGGTGGAGCAGCTAGAGAATGCTAAAGACTCTAACTGAAACATAACAAACTAATATTATTACTAATATTATTTAGCTGGACCAATACTGCATTGCAAAATTGTCTCAAGCGCTTAGGAAGTTCTCTAGAAAAAAATAACAAATGTAACACCTCTTATTCGTCTTGTTGTTACTATATTATACCATGTCAATATGTGACCATGACATGTACGGTGTATGGGTTACTTTTTTCTATTTTGTGCATTCCTCTATTTAAGGTTGTTTGTTCTCATTCTATTTATTCTGTCTAGAAACATGCAATACAGAAAACCAGAAAACCAGTAGCCTAATTACCCAGTGTAAGGGATGGCGTGTGGTGGATTATATATGCACACACTACACCCTACATACATACATTTAGTCTATCTATTGACTTCTTCCCGGAATACCACACTAGGAATGGTGGTCTGCAAGTGATGGTCATTGTTAACCAGTTTAGACCTCCCCCAATGTATATTAAGAAAAAAAAAAAGGAAAATGGTCAAATAGGCCCTTAAACTTTTCATAAGGAATCAATTAGGCCCTCCAACTTTCTAAAGTTGCAATTAGACACACGAACTCTTAATCTCGGTGCAAAAAGACCCACTAACCAGGTAACCACATGCAATCCCAGGTAAAATGCTTTGTAGACGCTGACTAGGCACAATCTTTACACATTTGGCTTGCCACTCAGCAAAAAAAAAAAAAAAACAAAAAAAAAAACAAAAAAAAAAAACAAAACAAAATTGCGGGGGTGGGGGGAACAAAATATTAAAAATATAAATAAGAAATACGAAATAAAAATAGTAAAGGGGAAATGGGGAAATTGAAATTGGGAAAGAAGAAACGAACTCCAGAACCCTAAGACCCTATCAAATCCAATTCTCTCTTCAGTCTCCAACTTCATTCACCTAGAATTGAAATTTACGAAGGAATATCGCAGGCTAACAACTCGACGAAGCCTATTATTGTTGATTGGAGCTTGAAGACGAAGCTATTGGCAGTAAACGAGCAGTCAGACGACTCTGTATTAGTTGGAACTTGAAGACGAGGTTGTAGCAGTCAGTTTTTCTTCATCCACGGACAGGGAGCAGTTGGACGAGTCTGAAGAGAGGTAATAAACATATCCCTTGTATATTTGAAGGTAAAAATATGGTTTTTGTATATTTGCAGTCATAGATATAGGTATTTGTATATTAAATAGTTTTGGCAGTGGTTTTTTTTTTTTTTTTTCCTTGTGTGAATTTAGATTGCTTTGTGATATGGGTCCCTTAAAATGCAGTTAATAATTGAGACAAACTTGGGTGGGTGATATCTTTAACCATCGCATAAAGCTTACAGTATACAAAATAAATAAAGTAAATTATTAAGGATGGACCAAAACCATAATGGAGTATAGGTTGATTGTTGCAAGCCATTTTATAAATTAAGAATTTAGAAATAAATTAAAGTAAATAGTAATTCTCAAAGCCAGCTTAATAATCCTATAAATATGCTTATGTTATAAGCTTAGGAAAACATAAGGGGTAGCAAAATTAAAGTTGTCATATCCTTGAGAAGGTTAGCTATGGCGCGGCGAGAACAAGTAGGCTTCCAGCAGCTTGTAACTCTGAAATTTGGCATGAAAAATCTGATGAAAGAAATTCACTAGAAAGATCATCATCAACTTATGGTGGTGCACGAAAATGGCATGCCATTTAACACATATGCAGGTGGCGTTTTCCCCTCGATCTGCAGGGAATATGGTTGCCGGGAACCCAACTTCTGCATTTAACTTTGGCACTAGTGGTGGCGCCGCCGGAGCTCCTCCCTTCACTAGCGGTGCCGCCTCCACTTCAGCTCTCCGTGGTTTTAGTTTCATGGCAAGTGGCTATAATGCAGTTTCTCAATGGGTTGCAATTAAGTACCAGTGATGCATTTTTCTAAACATTTAATTATGACAATCCTTTTCAAAAATAATTGTTGCATGTCACAATGCAATAATTCAAAATACTAAGAATATATATAATATTATACTGTACTACAGGTTCGTCAAGTCAATATTTTGTTTTGTTATTATTATTTACTAGTATTTTCGCACGTGCGATGCACATAATGGATTTGTTGTAATATATTAAAAATATTTCGATCAATATATAATTATTTAAATTGGAAAATCAAATATTATATAGTGTTATTGAAGATGTGGTTTGGATCATTGATGTGTTTTGATGTTATCATTGCTTAAATTTGAGCAAATAAATTACTCAAATTATAGCCCTAATGTGTACATGTACTACGCATGCGGTGCTGTAACTTTGGAAATTTTATTTATCATTTTTAAGTATTTTTTTTTAAATTTGGCAAAGTTGCTCGTTCTCCAGCAACACATCTATAAGAATGAATTGCTATTTTAATTTATTTGTATGGAAGATATATATTTTTTATCTAGATACATAGCAATTTTGTCATTTAAAATATCATTAATTTTCTATTTTGCAAATGAAATACCTAATCAGAAAGGTTATAAATTAAAGAAAGATAATAAAATTTTAAAATACTTATATATTACAATGATAGAAATTAGAAAGAATAGAAAGTGAAACATTTAAGAATAATTGAAAGTATAAAAATATATATTTTCCCTTATACTTCTACTGATTTCAAATGATTTTTTCTAATTTTTAGAATTGAACTAACGGCCCAATTAATATCATGCTTAGGTTAATTTTGCCGTGTGCTTAATGTCGGCGCTTGAAAGCTTAATTTTGCCCGTTGGGGCTTAAAGTCGGCGCAACTTACTTATTTATAGTAGTTAGTAGAACTAGTTTCCTAATTCTGTATCTCGTTGCGCGCTCAGCTCTTCTCTGTCTCTACTTATTGTAATCTCTGTTGAATTCTCTCCTTTGCAAGAAACATAATCTCTCTCCTTTGCAAGAAACATCATTCATTAATGGCGACCGCAATAATGAACTTGAGCGCCTCCCCTTTGCATTACCCAACAGAAGGAAGATTGCACATTAGGAGGATTACCAGAGCTATGATGCCCGCAGGTTATTCCTCTACTTTGCGCGACAACTCTTTCGAAATCAATTTCGATCCACTTTTGCACTTGAGTTCTCTGGGGAGTGCTTTTTCTTTCTTCTTGGGCACACTCTCCGCCATAGATTCTGATATCCTTTATGCTATATCGGCCTTTGCTTTCGACCAAGTTCGCAGCACAGGTTGGTTATATGGGCTGTCTTTGTTGGTCGTCCTCGAGACAGTTTACGTGTTGGAAGAGCCACGGAGGAGGTCGGCTGATTTCTTGGATGGTCATATGATTTTGAATGAAGACGCAGCTGGTGTTGTTGGTGATAATTATGAAGAGTTGGATGATTTCGTAATCGATTTGATGATTCAACCTACTGGGGTGGATGGTGGGAAAGTAGGAATGTCGGAGCAGGAAATCTGTATGTTGAAGACGGAACGGCTGAGCTATGATGAGGAAGAGGGGGAATGTTGCAGCATTTGTCTGGAAGGATATATGAGAGGGATGGTGATCACTGAATTGGCACCCTGTTGTCATAGGTTTCACAATGCTTGCATTGCCCAATGGCTGCAAAAAAACCCAACATGTCCAATTTGTCGCAGCACATGTAGTGTTTCATAAATGTAATTGACAATATATGTTTTTTTTCAGAATGCATATATGTTTTATTTCAGACATCCTCGTCTGTTCTCTGGTTTTGTAGGTTTCAGAATGCATATATGAATGATATGTTTTGTTTCAGACATCTTCCTCTATTTTCTAGTTTTGTAGGTTTTCCAAAGATTTTTGTATTAATTGTAGCACTAAATTGATTGGAGGTGTAAACTGATATTGCTAAGGAAGGAATTGTTCAGTTAACTAATATTGTCGAACCTATAATTGAAATTGAAAGTTTATAAAAACCTTTAACCATTAACCAAAATGAAGTGTATCTGTTAAAAAACATTTAATCTAAAATTTTCTGTTCAAACATTGTTTTCAAAAAGGTGATCTGAGTGGACTGCCCAGAACTGCCTTTTATTGGCTCTGGATGGTCTTCCTCCCTCACTTCTTCTCTGCCTGTTTGTATGCTGTATGGTGATCACTGATCAGGAAAAGAGAAGAGTATGTAGGCTGAACTGCTGAAGGGCCTGCCTGGGCTTGTTTAATAACCTGCATGTGTGCTCAAGTGTTGCAGGGAATATAAATATGGCTGTAGATGTGAGCTCATCTGCAAATTTTTATGGAGAAGAAATGCAGAGATTGAAAGTTCATCAGGCAGGTTAAAGTTCATCGTTCAGGATTACATTTCTACAAATAAACTTATCGATTTATTACTGGAGGAACGTATCTCAAGACCAAAAAGAAATATTTAGTAAAAGAAAAACAACCGGTATTCTTAATCTGCCTCAGCAGTCAAGATACAACTCTACTAAAACAACCGGGGCATATATATATATGGGTGTAGATGTGAGGTGATCTGCAAATTTTGATGGAGCAGAAATGCAGAGATTGAAAGTTGATGAGGCAGGTTAATTCTGTGGTCACAGCTAGCTCATCTGTATGTATGCTGAATTCAGTGCTGTCTGTACGTGTTATTCTTTAAGGCGGTGGTGTATGTGTGCTTATTCAACTTATTTTGTGAATGCAGAAAGAAGAGAATCTTATCTCCCTTTACCTGCTACTCCAAATACCCTTTGTGTGGGGCGTTGATTATTGAGCTTGAAAAGGTGCTATGCTTGATATGGTGAGTGCTGGAGAGCTACCATTCTTTGGCTTAGCTAGGTAGGGGTTGCATTCACATATTTGAGATTCAATGTTGCTTCCACTTCAGATTGTCCTCCGGACAACAACTTACAGGGAAAAAACACACAATATCATCATACTAATGAGCATGGTAGGTAATAGGATTTCATACCATGATTGCCAGGAGCAGCAGGAGCCACTCTCCTTTTTAGCAATGGTCTCTGGAAAAGCCTTCTCTTTTTTGTGTTCGTAACCATGCTAGATTTAAGCAGAATTCCTTCAAACAAAACATTGTTTTTCTGCCAAATAGTACAAGACCCCGGCACACACCCGTTCTGCAACCTCAAGATCAGAGTCCTCTCTATTGGGTGGTCGGTCTCCATCAAGAAGAATTTCAGGTTCCACTATTGGCACAAGACCATTGTCCTGAAACATCAACAAAAAACAATCAAAAGATAGCACAAGGTTTCTTTTCCTTATTCCCCTTAGATATTACTCTGTATATTACTAATGTTTCTAAACAAGGAAGAACTCAACAGACAAGGCTGAAGTCAATCAACAGACTCAAAAGATTTGGTTAAAAGACGTGAAAATACCTGAGAAATAGCAGCATAATGAGCAAGACCCCATGAGCAGAAGGACCGCAAGGAATGCTCACAACTGTTCTTCTCCTGAATATTGCCAAATCAACTATTTATTCTTGTTCACTTGGAGGAACTCACTGGACCTAAATAGAAATCTAAAAGTATACGCAACAGGAGAAGGTGGGAGAGGGCAGATTTACCACTTAGCAAAACGGGTCCCTTGCTTGTAGTATTCATCTGATCTAGAAGCTAAGCCATCTAAACCTTGACACCAAGATTCATTGTTGGATCCTGGAAGTGGGGACAAACCCTATATAGGCAGAGGGAGTTTTTTGCACTTTTAGTCCCACGACTATAGTGGCACTGGCAGAATTGATCCACGACTTTTGAACATTGCAATTTTAGTCCACGACTATTGATTTTTTTGCAAAAATGGTCCTTCCGGCCACTTTTCCGTCAAAATTTCACCGGAAAAAAAAAATTCTCCATTTTTAGCCGGGTTAAAATTGACATTTTACTTATCTCAAAAAATTAAAAGAAAAAAATTGATATTTGACTACATACAATATTACTGGGCTACATACTACTGCCCCAGGCGGCAGAGTTCCTGGAGCAGGCAGGACTGTCAGTAAGTGGCGGAGCGGCTGTGGCGTTCCCCGGGCTCCGGCAGCAGCATTGGAGTGGTACATGTACTCTGCCGCCTGGGACAGTAGTATGTAGCCCAGTAATATTGTATGTAGTCAAATATCAATTTTTTTCTTTTAATTTTTTGAGATAAGTAAAATGTCAATTTTAACCCGACTAAGAATAGAGAATTTTTTTTTTCCGGTGAAATTTTGACGGAAAAGTGGCCGGAAGGACCATTTTTGCAAAAAAATCAATAGTCGTGGACTAAAATTGCAAGGTTCAAAGTCGTGGATCAATTCTGCCAGTGCCACTATACTCGTGGGACTAAAAGTGCAAAAAACTCTAGGCAGAGGTCAACAGTAAAACAAACTTGGAAACAAAATCTATCTGAATATAAATGCCTTCAAATTGGGACTAGTATTAGAAGGATTTAAAATTAAGTCAAGTTGCACATCAAAATTTCAAAAACACTAGAGAATGGTCCTACCTTATCAACTTCGATCCAAGGCACTATTTTCCCATCACGCAAGCAGTCAACGAACTTCTTACCATCATATATTCCCCAAGGTCAGGAGTGGTCAGCAAAAGTTGCCTGTAGGTCTGTCTGTTCGTCTCTATGTTCTCCAGTCCAATGGAGTCCAATCTCTTTCCATAGGTGGCATTTGATTCATCAATGGCAAAGATTCCCCTTCCAGTAGATGCAACTGATATGACACACACACCAAAGTAATTTACAGTACCAATTTCATACACTTCAGTTAAAAGCTACATTAAATATCAACTCCATTACTATTTACAATTGTAAACAGAACGCAAATAGTTGAACAGAAGCCAATTTGGAAAACTGTTATCTCTTTAGTTATAGAAAGACTAAGGCAATACCTGAAAGTTCATCAGGCAGGTTAAAGTTCATCATTCAGGATTACATTTCTACAAATAAACTTCTCGATTTATTACTAGAGGAACGTATCTCAAGAACAAAAAGAAACTGAATAAAAGAAAAACAACTGGTATTCTTAATCTGCCTCAGTAGACCAAGATACTACTCTACTAAAACCGCAACTTGGTGCTGAGTAGGTATAACCCTTCACAAACATTCCCTTCTTAGCTTCACCACTTTCGCCATTCCCCAGAGTACTTCCCTAGCTGTGCTAAGGAGTTTGCTTTTGCACGAACCAACAGCGCCTTCTGTGCAGCTTCCACATTCTCGGGCTGCCCTTTCCATGTCTTCAGCACGGTGTTCTGCAGTGGTCGTGCGTATGAGAAGGAAACATGCCATGGGTTTGGACTTTGGTTCATTGCGTTGAGATTCAATGTTGCTTCCACTTCAGATTGTCCTCCGGACAAGAACTAACAGCTAAAAGAAACACACAAATCATTGATGTATTAGATCATAGTTACGTTGAAGCTATGAAAATCAATTATAAGTTATAGATGGAAGCATGCAGATTTGTAGTTCTCCACTTCTCTCTTTCCAATGTCAAAAACATCATCAAAGAGATTAAAAAAGAACAATTATTCTTAACAGCTTTTACTTTTCTTTATAGAGAATAATATATGACAGTGATAGCATAGGAAAACAAATACTAATGAGGAGCATGGTAGGTAATAGGATTTCTACCATAATGCCAGGAACAGCAGGAGGCACTCTCCTTTAAACAAAACATTGTTTTCTGCCAAGTAGTACAAGACCTCGGCCCACACCCGTTCTGCAACCTCAAGAGTCCTCTCTATTGGGTGGTCTCCATCAAGAAGAATTTCAGGTTCCACTATTGGCACAAGACCATTGTCCGGAAGCATCAACGAAAATCAATCAAAATATAGCAGAAGGTTTCTTTTCCTTATTCCCCTTAGATATTACTCCGTATATTACAAATGTTTCGAAACAAGGAAGAACTCAACAGACAAGGCTGAAGTCAGCAAAAGTTGTATGTAGGCCTGTCTGTTCGTCTCTGTGTTCTCCAGTCCAGTCTCTTTCCACAGGTGGCATTTGATTCATCAATGGCAAGGATTCCCCTTCCAGGAGATGCAACACTTTTCTGTTCCAATAAACAACAAAACTGATATGAAACACACACCAAACTAATTTACAGTACCCAATTTCATACACTTCAGTTAAAAATGCATTAAATATCAACTCCATCACTATTTACAGTTGTAAACAGAACGCAAATAGTTGAACAAAAGTCAATCTGGAAAACTGTTATCTCTTTAGTTATACAAAGACTAAGGCAGTAGCTGCATTACCACCAAATTTTTGAAAAGAATACTTAACTTTCACATTCACATATGAAACAAATATTTAGTGTCCTCGGCATAGAACAAAAAGATGTACAAAGATCTCAAAATGAAATATTATGGAATTTGCCAAGACTACTTTACTGTTACAAAATAGTAAGAGGTTTCACCAAGAATGTACCTAATTTCCCTTAGAGTTGAATTTTCAGCAAGGTTCTTGGCATTAAATGAAATCATTGGCGGTGATAGCAGCCAGTCCTCATCATTTTCTTTACACTCAACTATTTGGATAAAACCTTTATCATTATCTTCCGTTGCAGCCTGATCTCAAATCCCAAACAAATGAAGAAATGAAACCATATATAACCAAATTTAAGTTCACTAATCATTTAAAATTAACGCAAATTCGTAATGAAAATGATAAGCCATACAGAAAAGTTGCTAGGCTTTTGTTTCTACGGTGGTGAATCAAGGCTATCATCTGCCACATTCAAACAAAAAAAAAAAAAAAAAAAAAGAATTAAAAATAAAAACAGAAGTGGTATATATATAGAGGGGGAGAGAACCAACCATCAAGGCAAACAGCGTTGAAAGGTTGAACGCGATGGTAATCGAATAGCGGTTCAAATTCTTCAGCACAACCATCCTGCGAAATTAGAAACGAAGAAGAAAATGAAATTCGCAAACCCCTAAGCAGAAGCTATGATAGTAATTTGAACAGTGCAAGATGGAAAACCGTACCATCGATTCACTCTATCTCTCTCTGATCGAGAGTACTCTTCAGTATTGGCTTCCTTGGCAAGTTAGTAATGGCGCCTCGCTTTAAAGTTCGAATTAATTATTATTTTTTATTTATTTACAAGCCCCCATGAAAATATATCATCTTCCACTATCAACTTTTACTCTCTTTTTCAAGTGTTAATAATAATATCTACTATACTAATAGCGGCGAAAGTGTTAGTTTGTAGAGGTGTAAGACGAGAATTGGAAATGGAGAGTCTACTTTGATTTGGGACCACCCTTGGCTCCAAGATGGTCAGGATCCTATCGTACAAACTGAAAAACACCCCAACTTGGTAGGAGCAAAAGTAGTGGGTTTGATTGACAAGGATACAGGAACATGAGATCAATCAATTTTGGCAGATATATTTGACCCGATTGATATACCCCGGATTATGAAAATACCTATTTCCCCAAACTATGATGATTCTTGGTATTGGCACGGGGATCCGAGTGGCTGCTATACAGTGAAGAATGGATATAGGCTCATTGTTGGAGATTATGAGAATAATGGTGGAAATTTTAATAAATGGCTTTCACTATGGAGGCTTAAAATTCCACCCAAATGGAAGACCTTTTTATGGAGAGCTTTAAGTGATATCCTCCCAACTACACAGAAGCTAATTGAGAAAAGAGTTAATTTTTCTTTGAGATTTCTTAATTTATCCTTAATGAATATGATTATTAGTTAACTTTTCCGTTAAATATTATCTTTTTTCGTTAATTTCTGTTAGTTCACGGTTAACTTACTCATTGATTTCAATAAGAGAGGCCTTAGGTTCGAATCACATCCCAATCAAAGTTGACATAATTAGTACTCTATTTTACTCTTATTAAATTACTAGTTTCTCTACGCGCTTTGCGCGAATAAGATAATGCCCAATACTTATTTTTAAATAAGTATTTCAAAGTATATCAATGCAATATTATATAAAAGATGTTCATGCATAAGTAAATAAATGTTGAATTTGGTTATTTAAATCGGTAATTTAAAGTATATAAATGCAAGATAATATATGAGAGATTGATTATATATAACTGCCACAAAAATAAATGTTTGCAACTTTGTAATAACGTTAATCTAAGTACTAAGTCTAAAAGCGATAGTCTAACTAAATACTCTTTTTTGTTTAAATTTCTAATTCTCTTTTGGGTAGCATTGTTATTGTTTTCATCTTCAGTACATGTCCTTTTTTTTTTCTGTTATTGGTAATGTGTCATGTGCAATTGGGTTATTGGTGGTATCATAGAGGGATTCATCACGCAATGAGATTATAGTGTACGAAGTTTTAGATTTGTCTTGTTGTGTATATGACTGATCTGAGATCTTAGTTGTGCTATGAACTCTTTATCTTACAAACACATGTTGATATTTGGTAGTGGTAGATTTTCCCTAAATGTTTCAGGTGTTGTGAGACATCTAATTCTAAATTAATTAGATGCATATGTATTATTTTTTGTTATAGCTACTAATTTATTTTTAAATTTAAGTAATAAGAGCAATAAAGTGGGCAAATTATGCTATGGAACCATGTCCACCTTGCAAGGTGGACATGGTTCTAAAATTGTTCATAATTATGAATATATAGTTCAAAAATTATGAACATATAGTTTTATAATTATGAACATAGAGTTGTGAACATATAGTTCTGTAATTATGAATATA